GTTTACCAGTCCATATTTTCTGTTGTCGTATTGACATTTCGTCAGTAATTATAGCATCAATTATTTCCTTTTTGGTTTAACCTGTTTTTTCTTTTAGTCAGTCAAACGCTTCTCCTGTAAAACCAGGTTCTGCATTTATACTTCTGTACCAGTTGCATAAAGTATTTGGGTGAAGTAGGCAAATGTCAAACATTTTTCGTATGTACTTATACGCGGCTGGTGAATAGAAGTGTAGTGTAATAGCGAATTTTCTGGCATGCGGTGGATATTGAGAAAATGGCCGCTTTCTACCTTTTACGTTCTTTAAATAAATAGCATTAAAAGTGTCTGTGACTTCATGATACATGACATGATAGGTCATGAAGTAATGACGGATCTACAGTTTGACGTTTATTTAATAGAGACAAAACATCCTTTAAGTTATTTTATTTTTTCTTTAGTCTCTTATTTTGTTTTCGTAATTTTGATAATTTGTGATTTTTTACTATTAAAAGCCTTTTACAAGCAAAAAGTTTTGAATTTGAAAAAGAATTTGAAGAATTGAGCCAATACTAAAAGATGAGGCTTTCAAGAACTTCGGAAACAACAATAATAAAACACAAGATATTATATAACTTTGTAATTATTTATATCGGCATATCACTTTTTAAAACAATCAAAAACTATCATGTAAAAAACAAAACAAAATAAATTTAACGTTATGCTTTCAAGCCCGTGAATTCATTACGAATTGAAGTTTAATTGATAAACCATTGATTTATATATTTTTTATAATAATAATAATTTATTAAAAACTTTAAAATGTAGCACATATTAAAAAAAAATGAAGATTTAAATATTAATTTATTTTTAGAAAGATTTATATATTATACTAGATGAGTAATAACCGCGCCATAGCGTTGCCACTGCACATATGGCCACAGTCATATGCTAACGTCGGTTCAGTGTTCAATGTGACGCCGACAGAGTTGAGCCGCGACAAAAAACGGGTAAATGCGTAGTGAAAGAATACTATTCAAGATCACAAAAATGTAATAAATCAAGTGGAATCACTTTCAACACATAATTTTTAGTTCTTGTTTTCATATAAACGTAAAAAACCTCAAATAATTAAATAAAATTATCGAATATTGCCATTTAGGTTCAATGTTGCCACTTTTCCGCATTTGTGATTATCCTACATTAATGGGAGACTATATAATTAATGGATCAAGTTAATTTGTTACCTTTGATTTTAAATATTTTGGAAGTTATAATAAAAACTACGTTTTAACTTTCATACAAAATAATTAATTATTCTTATTTTAGTTTATTCATGAATTATCTATTAAATATATTTTATTACCTATTTTATATTAATTATAATTTCATATAAATTTTATATTAACTATATTTTATTACCTATTTTATATTGTTTGATATATTAGTACCTACAATAAAAATACTTATAAAAGTTTGTTTTATTTTATCATTATGTTTCTATTCATCTGATAAACTTTGTATCCTTTTTTTTCTAAGGGGACGCAATAAAGATTTTCAAAATAAAATATACTTTTTTAATATAAAAACAATTAACTACAGCTTAAAAACTCATTTTATTGCGTATTTTAGGTAAAATTTCACATAGTAAGCCACACCAACCCGCCATTGCATGTTTGTGTGTCTATCTTTATCTTATGTTAGCGACGATATTGTTTTCACATCTTGTGTAAATGAGATAGATGTATGTTTATTTAAAATTGTTATTAGTTTCAAAGCTACGTCGTCGCATTTGGATAGTGGTTACACTTTTTTCGACGCGCGGTAATGTGGTTTGCTCCTCTAGTGTTGTATAACTCAATGTGATAAACACGTTGTAAAAATATTAATAAATAAAAATATCATTGTTATATTTACAACTACTTACTTGTGGTTGCAAACAACATTGTGCAATCGCTTTTTTATCAAAACAAGACTCATCTTCTACATCATGATCATTTGCTTCCTATGAACAAAACACATTAATAATAATGCATGTGCGTAAATAACTCAACCGAAGTTATTAAAATGCCACTTACTATTCGCGGTACAGCTGTTTTGTGTTTCTGATGCCTTTCGTAGTCACATATTCATCACTTTCTAAAAAATACTTTGAATATACAACGCTTCCTTCAGTGGGCTTGAAGAATTCTTCGGATCTCTTGACGTGCTATGACTGATATCTATTCTCCACGCCAACTGGATCTCGAGGAAAGCTAAAAAATAAAATCTCACATTTTTAATTTTATTTCTTTATTTTTACGTTACTATAATATTTAGAGAAACAATAAAGAAATCTCATTAAAGAAAAAACAATCATACTTTAATAAAAAATTTAAAAACAATGTCTCCAACAATGGAACAGAGTCAACGCACATAACTTGAACAATCGTGACTTATTTATTATGACTTAATTTTAAATAATGTTTTACGGAGATTTCTTGGCAAAAAAGTTTTTACAATACAGTGATAACACTGGATAGTAAACATGCTCAGTATACGAACAATAAAGATTGCTGGTGAATCTTAGACAATTCAGATCGTGAAAAGATGCCCGCAGGGTGGGGTTCTTTCACCTCTCCTGTGGAATATGGTCATTAATGAACTCATCAGCAAATTAAACGCTAACCATTTCTACACAGTCGGTTATGCAGATGACCTGACAATACTGGTCTCTGGTAAGACAGCAAGCATTGTGTGCGACCTGACCCAAGCGGCTCGGCGTATTGTGGAGAGATGTTGCAGGGAATATGACCTAACCGTTAATCCAAATAAAACGGTTATAGTAATGTTCACACAAAAACGAATGCTGAGTAACTATCATCTTTCAAGTCTTTTCAGCACAAAACTCCAACTTTCTTCCGAGGTAAAATACCTAGGTCTTACCTTGTACAGTAAACTTAACTGGAACAAACACATAGAAAACAAAATCAGCAAAGCTAGTTTAACTTTCTGGCAGTGCAGAAACATGATTGGCAAACGATGGGGTTTAACGCCAAAAATTATAGTGTGGCTGTACAAAACTGTAATTCGGCCCATGATCACATACGGCTCTCTGGTATGGTGGACCAAAACCAATGAAGCCACCACTATACAAAAGCTTAAGCGTTACCAGAGATTAGCTTGTATGGCTGCCACGGACTGCATAAAGACAACACCAACAGCAGCTTTGGAGGCTATGCTGGAGCTAAAACCGCTTCATCTACATATACAACAAGAAGCAACTTTAGCTGCCATTAGACTCAAGACCCTAAATCTTAGTAAGAGTAGAGTTCCCCATACAGATATAATCGATAGAATTTACTCAAAAATTCCTATCTTACAAGCCAAGTATGATAGGATCCCAAAACAATTTGTATTCGATAAGAAGTACAGGATACAATTGAAGGAAACTGACCATCTGGAAGGATTGGGTCCAAGAGAGCTCAAAGTTTTCACGGATGGCTCTAAGACAAATGAAGGTGTGGGGTCTGGGGCTTTCTCTGAAGACCTTAATATCCACATATGCACATCGCTGGGTACCCACAACACAGTCTTCCAGGCTGAATGCATGGGTATCATCCAAGCGGCCATAGCAATAGATGCTAGGAAGGTGAAAGACTTCTCCATCAGAATACTGACCGACAGTATGGCGGTACTACAAACTCTGAGTTGCAATGTGACGAACTCGGGACTGATATACGAGTGCCATCAACGATTGAATGAGGTATGTAAGCACAACAATGTGACTCTGCAATGGATCAAGGGACACAGTGGATCTAGAGGCAACGATGCAGCAGATGAACTGGCCAGAAGGGGATCGGCCCTAGCAACTATAGGGCCGGAACCAATAATACCAATCCCCTTTGGCTACGCTCGTTCACGGGTACGTAGATACTTCAATAATTTACACGCTCAGCTTTGGAAAAATTTAGTAGACTGTAGACAAGCTAGGGAGGCCCTACCTGAAATAAACAGTCGTCTAACCAAGGTTTTAATGAGACTGAACAAGCCACAGATCAGGATAGTAACAAGTGCTATCACAGGACATGGCTCTTTTAACAAACATTTGTTCACCATAGGTGTTACTGACAGGCCCCTGTGCAGGGCATGCATGGGAGAGGAAGAAACGGCGGCTCACGTGTTGCTGACATGTCCAGAAGTCGCTTCATACAGGGCTAAACATCTCGGCACGCCGGGATCGCTCCCCAAAGTTGCTTGCAACATCAAGGGACTGCTGAGCTTCTTGAGGGAAATATCATGGTTTGAATAAGCATATTGTTCCTGCCCACACGCAAAATACGCGCTTAGACGTGGAGTTGCGGAAAACAGCCCGTCGTAAACTAAACTAAACTACAGTGATAACAATTAAATAATGATAATATTAATACGTACCGAGAATAGGAAATTCCATCCTTTTTTAGCGTCCTGGATGTGTGATTGCACAGTGTGATTACACTTTTTAAACGAGCACTGAGGCATGTTTACCGTCGGAGCATTCGAACGTAACTAGATTAAAAGCGCACCCAAATGTTCGAATGGGTGCTCATTCGGTGAGCTCATTTTTTGTCATTGATTGTATATCTAGGTTTTTATTAGTGATCGATGTTTTTAATAAACTTTATTACTCATCTTCATTCATCGGGTTCATCTAGGTTTTAATCAATGGGCTTAATATAATGCCATAGCGCCTAAAATCTCTATAGGCCTGCGACGCAGTAGCCAGATGCTTTCTGGGCTTAAATGAGACGTCAGAGAAACGGGGACAATAAGAAAAAATAGTTTTTGCACAGTGACTAAGAAAGCAGGTGCTCTCACCACAAGGATATGCAAAGATCAAAATGAGTAGGCATGACACAAGTTGTCTCTATTTTCCTCTTTTTGAAAAGAATACTATTGGCGCTATTTACATAATAACCTTACGTCTAAACACACAAAAAGATTGTTTATAAAATCATCATTTTATTATAAAAAAATATATCAAACACAACTTATTCTTATTCCTAAAAATATTTCTCTAGTGGTTCTCCTAATATTTGTTCTAATTTTCTTATTGCGTCTTTAGTGCATGTTTCTATTTTAGAATCGCCATCTTCTAGCAACTCGGCGAGGAACGGTACACTTTCAGCCAACAGTGGAAGCCAGCTGCTTCCAAGCTGTGTTGCCATCGACACCAGACAGTCTAAAGCTATTAACCTGCAATATTAAGTAAATTAAATATTACGCCACTCAATAAAGGTTTCTTAAATAATTTAACACTATTCGAATTAAACATGATTTTAGAAAACCTCCAGAGCCCATATTGCCTTGTGCATCTATTTAATGGTGGATGTTATGTTAAAAACATCCTCTGCCATTCAGTGAACGCAAATAATTTGCGTGAACTGTTGCCACTTAACCTTAGTTGTGATAATACTACGAAAGTAGTTACAGAAGACAAGAAAACAAATTAAAATTACAATGTTATACAAATAATCTAATATTATCAAATTTTAAATTTCTCACTCATTACTGAGTACCCCATGACCATTACAAGCAAATGAAAACTTTAACACTGGAGTGGAGATCTTTAATTTCTTTTTCCGCACAAACATATTGTCCATACTGATCTGTAGTACTATTATTGTGTTTTTTTTTATTACTATTATATTTTGTATACTGTGTACTATCAGTGTAAATATACAGCCCATATCATCCCGTGGGTATCAAAGAAGCGACATAGGGAAAAATGAAACAGGAGATAGGTTACTCATCACCTGGGCTCGAATAGTCACAACATTCCTGCCCACACGCAAAATACGCGCTTATGAGTTAGTTACAGACGTGAAGCGGCGTAAAACAGCTCGTTGTACTAGTGTACAACGCGCTGTTTTACGCCGCTTAACTAACTAAACTAACTACTCATCTCCTGTTTCAACATCTTCCTCACAACAGCTTAAATTGATAATATGGCTTAAAAAATCAATAAGGGGCCAATATTCCGCAGAGGACTTTTAATGGGCTGTCATAAATGAATAAATGACCTCTCGTCAGTAGCTATGTTCATACCCTTCAACCCCCAAGCGGTCAAATTCGATCACGGCGCTATTCCTTCTAAATTAAAAACCATTAAAACAGCACTTAAGACCATTAAAACTTATATTTAGAGACTACTTTTCTATGAAGAAGTTTGGCATTATAGAATGCATTTTCACGTGAATGTTATTGGATTTTTTTAGTGTTTAATTAATGTTTTAGTATAGTTTTATTAAAAATTGTAATGAAAGTTTTTGTATGAATATAATTTATCTTTTTGCGTAAATAATATCGAGTAATATATATATTGAAATAATTGAGATTTTCACGCTGCCCACATTCACTTGGTTTGTTTTGTTTTTGTTATCAAAATACAATAGTCTTTTTGTAATGAACTAAAACTTGACTTTTATATAGAGAATTTTGTATAGATTCTATAATGCCAAACTTCTTCATAGAAAAGTAATATCCAAATATAAATTTTAATAGTTTTAGTGCTGTGGGTGGGTGCCGTCGCATGCGACCGCTCGGGATTTGCCGGGAGCATGCGACTGCATGAGAATTTTAAGGGGACTGAGAGGTTAAAAATAGTGAACATAAAATAAACTTTCTAAAGAAAAGTGTATATACCTGATCTCGGCATCATTATGCCTAGTCTTCAATAAAATTTGGTAGTTCAACAACTTCCAAAGAGAATCATCAGCAGTAGCGACGGCAAACTGAGCAATGCACGGGATTATCAACTCAGTCGCTCTCGTCTTAAGACATGAAATTCCTCCCACCGTGTTTTCCAACTGATCTACCACTGGCTGCATAAGTGTTTCAAATCTATCCTTATTGAGGAAATTCTGACTATCATAAAGAAAAACTACATGTAGAGTTTTCATTATATAGTTGACGAGGGATATACATTTCTCCTCTGAATCAAAGTACAAATCCTCTGATTTGCTATTGTTGCATGCGTCAAGCAATTCCGCCGAATTTTTAATGAAATGTCCGGCAAACAAGACAAAGAGTCCCTTTAATTTGTCTGCGATAGCACTGCTTAGCCTGTAAAAGTGAGAGGGAAATTGAAATTTAGTTAGAATTTAAGAAAAGTTAAGTTACAGCCTATATAGATCCCACAGCTGGGCACGGGCCTCCTCTCATTTCTAGGGTTTTAGGACTTTAAGGGTTTTAGGACGAGAATGTCCGCGTTGCGCTGCCCCAATGCGTATTGGCGAACATCACATGTCCAAAATTTTTTTTTTCATAAATATTATTCGTGATATGAAGGATGAGAACCGAAATCCATTTTTTTTTCCATCCATTTGTTACTCTGACCACTAAACCACCAACTATATATTAATCTACGACCGTGAAATCTAATAGGTTACTTACACACTAAAATTTTAGTTTTTTTTTTTAATAGAATAAGCGTTACAAGCACAGTGATAGTAAGTGGACACACCTAATGGTAAATGGCTACTGTGACCTATAGACACTTATACCTATCCTCAATTAAGAAACAAAATACAAATGTCCTGTCACCCCTGAGGAACTAAGATGGAATGCTTCGTTTCCAGTAAAAAGGGTTTACGGTTCTATACACTCACCATACGAAACACAGCAACATCAAGCTATTTTATGCTGGTATTCTGTGAGAGTGTAGTTCTTACCCGGTTGTGACGACCCACATCTCTAACAAGTATGAATAGATTGTCACGAAATGTTGTGGCTATCTATGACTTAAGCTCACGTTTAGCAGTGGACTTAACCTGCAGTGATAATGATGATGTTTTGACTATTAAAATTAGAAATACACTGGGGACTTACCTATAGAATGTTATTGTTCTATCTTTATGACCTTCGATATTAGTCCTTATGGCCCAATCATAAATCTTAAAATAAAATGGCCTGAAATTAGTCTCAGATAACTTAAGGACTAAACACACCAAAGCATTAACCACTTTGTCTTCAGCTCTATCGATAATATTTACATCAATGTTCTTATCAACAGCATCACTACGTAACTGAAGTGCCGATAGGAAGAATGCTGTCAAGTCTTGCTGGAGTGCCGTAAAATCTGCCGTCGTGACATTCGCGAAACAATCTGCCAGAACCGACATCACTGGACCTACAGCATCATAGTTTTCCTTATCTACAACTAGGTGATATGTTGCATTCGCGACAGGTATTAAAACCCTGGGTGGGATGGAGCTCGCAATTTTCTTCTTTATGTTAGATAATTTCGTTATGATTGCAGAAACTTTACTGCATTCTTGGTCATAGCTTTGCCATTTGGCGAAGAGTATAGAATACTCATACATGATTTTTTGTAAGTAAGGGCTCAAGAAAAGTGGTAAACTTTCAACGATCTTAGAAATAGCAGTCACCGTACTTAGCAATACTAATTCTTGTACGTCGGTCTTTCTTTGCTTCTTCAGCACTTTAATAAGGGCTGGCATAAACTTACGAAGGCTAGATAAAGAATGCGCTTTAAGGTTACCGCATAGTTCAGCTAAACATAGGACAACAGAAGCCATCACATTGCTGCTTATGTTCGGATTGCATGTATAATCAGTTACAACTTCCAAAACTGGTTTAAATGGTTCCGGATTATCTGCTGCTAACATTCTTGTAAGCAATTTTAAAGATAGAAGTGCAGTTTGCTGATTCAATTCAAGTTCTTGAGCTTCAATTTCGCTTAACGAATCGTCTTTTTTGTCAATTGTTTTCACGATATCTAATAACGCTGGCAGCAAAGAAAACAGCAGCTCTTTGTCAACATCCATAAACATTTCTGGACTAAACTGTATTTTTGAATTTAACAATTCCATCGACTTTCTTCGTACTGTTTGCAGAGTACGCCCCAGTAGTCCTCGTACAACAGATACGAACATAGGAGCTGATAGTAAGTTGTTAGTATGATCTAATAAATCGTAACTGTGATGTAACATGACCCGCCAATATTTAGCAGTTTTCTCATCGCTTATTTTCGAAATACTTTGAATAAATGTTAATATATTGATTATAAATGACTTGTAAAGACTTTCCATAGTTTTGATATCTGTTGCTTGACTGTTATGTTGAATGAATCGCGAGGAAGATAAGCAAGTATTCATAAAGGTTATGATAACATATTTGTAATGCCGCAACTGGATCGGAGTATGACTGTTGACACTAAATATTTCACTTGGATCAACAGATGTTTCCATTGAGTTTTCATCTTTCTGTATCGGCAAAGATTTTATGTAAATCATCAGCTTGACAAAGTTTTCTAAACAAATTTCAGGTGAAAATTCTAATAATATGCTTTGCCCAAAATCAAGTCTATTTATTGGAGATTCTTTATCTGCTAATGTTCTCTGTTGATTTTTGTCCTTTTTCTTAATTTCGTTGAAATGAGCAATATGAGTCTCCAGCAAAAGCGCGATGAAAACCCAAAGGAATTGATTAGGCCCTAGTGTCTCTATCAACTTCTTATAAAGTGGAAGCCTCCGATGTTCGGGAACATGTAAAACGACGTCAGCAAATATTCGTAAGACTGGAACTACACGATTTTGCAGTTGCTGGATTTCTTTTTCGGTATAATCTTCGATCTTTTTATCTAATTTTACTAATATGGGTATCAAAGTTTCTATAATCTTAGTGATAATTTGAAAACTATAGGCATCGTCATGCCTTAGAACTGACGATCCCATAAATGTAAATATTTCCATAGTATGATGTAATACTTGTTCTGGTAACATATACGCCGCGTGTGACAGCAAAATCAATGCATGATGTTGAGTTTGAGGATTCTGAGTTCCTCTTATGCACTGAACAACTAATTCTACATCAAATATACTCTTAAGTGACTGAAGCTGTTCTTTATCGGTATCATTAACAAATTTCTTACAATAATACCATAGTGACGATAGAATGAGTTGTTTTGTATACTCAACATAGGATTGCTCTTCGAATCTTAGGCATTTGTTAAGCAGTTGGAATAGAATTGAAACAAAAGAATTGTCTGCAGTCATTTTCTTTTTACTCTGCACATATTCCAACATTATGACACCCAATCTCCAGTCATCAGTTCCTGCTAATTGATAAGACAGCAAAGAGACAGAAACTTTCTTTTTCTTAGGCACACTGGCAGCTGGATCAACAGCATTGAGCATTTTATCTAAAATTGGCTTGAAATGACGAAACTCAAGATGGATCTTCTTCATTAATTTTGACGCAGTGGAAGAAATGTTCGGGTTGCTACTAAAAGCTCCAGCAGATGCGACAAGACATATGAATTCCGCAGTTTTCTCTTCAGGTAACTCCTTAAAAACCGCATCATCAAATTTCTTCATTATCAATACGCAAGGACTCGTTAAAGATTGATTTTCATCTAAAATACACTCACGATATTCTTTTAAGCCAAGTTCAATGGACTTCCAAACCTGTACTTTTGTAAAAGTAGGTACTGTTGCCTCATTTATCAGGCTGTAGACTAACATAAACAAATTAGATTCATATATATCAAATGTAAGTTTCTTATTACTTTCTTTTAATTTTTTCTCAAGAGAACTTAAAGAAGGTATCACGTGAAGAAAACTGTTTGCATTATTTATATATGTCAGTAATTTTAATAATGTACATTTAATATGAGATGGAGTATCAGAAATCAAAACACTTGTTAGTTTCAACAGGCAATTCTTCCTAAACATTTTATTGCCAGGGGAGTGGTGTGTCAAAATAGTTTTTAACACCTGTGGAACTTGTTCTGGATCTAATAGTAACTCTTCTTTGTGAGACATTAATTCTTTCATTAGCTGCACATATATCAAATTTTTGTCTGGTTCATATCTCAATAGTTTGCTCATCAAATCAATAACGCACTGTCGTATAGCTGCAAGTGGATTGTTTAAATCAAAAAGTATTGTAAGCATGAGCACATCATTATCATAAATCCATTTTGCATTTTCTTGAATTGTTATAAAATTATTAAGCAATTTTAAACTTCTCAATTGAAGTTCAGGATTAATGACATCATCAGGGTTATTTGCAAAAAGAATATGCCCACACGCAATATTAGCAACAAATTGAAATTTGTCTTTGACATTATTAAATAATTTTCCAAGGAGCAACTTCAATAACTTAGTATAGTTGTCACCATATGTGGGAAATCCACAACCAGTAAGGAATAATTCATAAAGTTTCCTGACAAGGATTGTTTCTGGCATCTTACAAACATTGCACCATGGCTTAGTTACATCTTTAATATTCATATCTTCAACAATCCTCAAAAAAATGTATTCCATAACCTCAAAAACAATTTTATTTTGTCTTGAAAGTTTTATAAATTCTGGAATAATTTGAGGAGAAAAGCTTGAAGAGTCAGAACTTGATATTATTGTTCTATTCTGGACCGATTTTAGTAAAATATTTAGTGTATTTGTTAAATCTTCAACTGTTGCTCCTTTAAATGAGCAAGATTTTAATAACATGAACAGATAAACTTCAAGGGTGTTCTGTTGATTTATAAGATTTATATCTAGGAATTTATCAAAACTAATAGCTTTATCAACAAATACTACTCTGAATATCAGTTGATTTAAAACCTCAAAATTATCACTAAATGAATTATTAACATCTGCCAGCTTATTAATCAATCCGAATTTTTTACCCCATGGTGAATTTAATATGTGCCATGTTACTTCAGCAGATTTTTTATCATAAGGGAACAAATATGGTATCAAAGACAACACTGTGTCTTGATTAACAGGCATTGTTTCGATAGAGCAGAATTTAGTTACAGCTTTATTTACTACATTATTCCACTTCTTTGATTTCTTTGTGACAATATTAACAAAGGCATTTGTTAATTCATTATCATTCATTACTTCTTCCATACACTTACTGGAAATGCCAAGTGTAGCTTTTACAACTTCAGGATTGTCATCATTTAATCTGTTCACAATAGATTCTTTAACGAATTCTGCATTTTCCAGTTTCAGTGCTTGGAACTCCTTTGCTATGTAATTAACAGCTTCAATACGTAATTCAGGGTTAACATGGTTTAAATTTTCAAACAGATAGGCCCCACTAACTTTATGTGCCACTGCAGGTTTAAAGCCTAATAACTTGGATAACTGTGACCGCCTTTTTGATGAAATATCACTGTCTGAACTCATAATACTTTTGATAACTTTATCAAAAGCCTCAGGATACTTGGTTTCAATATTTTTTAAGAACTTAGAATACCAATTTAAAATGTTAGGAGACAATTCCATATCTTCATCAATTATTTCAACATCACTCTCATTACCATTTGTTACATTTTGAGGTGGTTGAAAGGCATCCAAAATACACCTGAAAAGAATATTGTAATTATTCAACAATTTCACTTTCATTTAGAATTTATTCTAATTTATTATTTTACTTAGAAAAAATCTACAATACTTCCACTACTTTTAAGTATATTAAGGGCCAATTTATAATCATCCGGTAACAGTTGTCCATCAAATAAATTATAACCTGACAGAATATAAAAGTCAAACAATTGAACTATATTAATGCGAAAACTGTAATTTTTAATTTGTTCACATTGCATTTTTTCATATGAATAATTGTTATTTGATGATTGAAAAATTGAGCCTCAATCAAATATATGTATTATAATAAACTAAATTAGGGACAATCATATACCTCCGGAAGATATGATGATTTCTTAAAATATGCAAAATGAAATTTTACTAACATAATATAAATGTACGCATACTCTCACAGACAATCAATAAAAATTGTATTTTGAGGTCCATAGACTCCTCTATGGACCCCAAAACATGAAGATATATTTAAACTTTGGGCTTTCAAATATTAAAGCCAATAACCATAAGGAAGTTAATGAATAAAGAATACAGGGAAAGAGAATTAAATTCAAGTTCAAAGAAATTGTGAAATTTGTTTTCAATTAAAATTTCAATAAACTTTGATATTGTTTCATGGATAAATTTCTAATATGCAAAATATAATTTTCAATCATCATCCAAAAGTCCATTGCTGAGCATAGGCCTCGCCTATAGATTGGCTAATAGGGAGGATATTTGACAGTAGTCAAATAACAGATTCAAACCCTGACTTGATAGTCTGGTTTATTAAAAGTGATGATAGAAAAAAAGCCTAAAAGATCTAATAACATTTAACAATCACTATTTATGGATTTTAAATACTTCAAAACCTAGATAATGTATTTAACCAGCAGTTATACATGTTGATGATGAGGATAAATAAAACTAAGAAGTTTGTGAATCTGATTTAAATTTTAAAGCTTCAATCAACAATACCAACCAGATGTTGGGTCGGCTCAAAAAAAATGTCTCAGTAAATAAGAGCGCACTTGAAACGTGAGCTTTTATTTCGTTTAGTTCACTTGAAACACAGCCAATGTAAACACGTTTCAGAATACCGCAATGTATATTTAAAAGTTGCAAGAATATAGCCTGAAAAAGCAATTTAACGGCCGGAGTATCTTACTTACGGTGAGTACATGTATAGTATGTTATATTTTAGACTCTAAAGTCTAAACTAACAAATAACATCATATTTGAAACAAAATTACCGATTTTAAACCACCCCTACAAATATTTTGCCAAGGTTGACCAATGGCCAAAAAACACACGTAAACATTTGTGAAACAGAACAGTAGATGCATGGAGTAGATTTGTATCATAATACTTTTTAATAATTTGTTATCAAAACTTTAAATTTAAATAATGGTAATTGCTCCCTTTGTCTCTGTTTGTGTAATTTCATTAGATACTTAGCTTAATTATTTTAGCTTTCATAGCAAAATGGATCTCGACTGTCACCAGAGAAAGAAGAGATGACTATTATAAGCCAGCTAAGAATTCAGTTGATTCCGGTTCCGGCTATTGTATCGTAAACACGTACGTCAAAGTCCTCCGCGAATATTTTCGTAAAAGTAGTGCAAAAAGTGGATAATCAAGTAATCTTGACGCAACCCCATCAAAATAAAGTATTGGCACTAAACTTAGTGAAGTGATCACAGTGCGACTATTGTTCATTTTGCGAAAAATCTGCAATTATCATTAAACAACATAACCTAAAATTATGCAGTTATAATCATAGACTTAATAGAGTGTTATCACTATTGCCAACATAACCAATCACCAACTGTCATTGACAGTGAAGGGTTAGTGTTACCAGTGAATAAAAACTCTTGAATACAATTCAGTGTTGCCACTACAACATTAAAATTACCACAAAAATGGAAAAAAATATGGAACTTTTATTATCAAAAATAGATGAGAAGCTCGAACAACAAACTATGCTCATAACAACATCAGTGACAAGAAATGTTATGGAAGCATTGGACGAGAAATTGAAAACTATCATGGAAGAAAATACTCTACTTAAAAATAAAGTCGTAACACTAGAGAAAAAATTAAGTGCCATAGAAAGAGAGAAGCGAGGACACAACTTGGTTTTCTTTGGAGTAGAGGAGATGGGTAAAACAGAAGCTGTACTGGTAGACCACATTAAGGAAGCTATAATAGAATCGGGAATACACCTAGATAGTCATGAGTACAGAATTGGACAACGTACCGACAAAAAAAACCGTCCCGTTGTAGTTTCCATTGCATCTATATGGAAGAAGCATTTGATATTGAAAAACAAAACTAGTTTACCACCAGGTATTATTGTCAAAGAGGATTATCCGAAAGATGTCGACTAGAGAAACGAAAGCAGTTACAGCCACGAGTAGAAGAGGAAAGAAAAAAAGGAAACATGGCCTATCTGAAGTACGACAAACTAATAGTAAAGAAACCTAAAGATAAAGGCTGTGACAAGAGAAAAAGGGAAGACTCAAACTCACCCAACTTGTCAATGCAGAAAAAAGTTAACTCACAGGACAATATTACTTTACAACCACCTAACAAAACAGCAACAAAAGAAATTTTTAAACCCAGCACAGTCAAATATGTTGAACGAAAAAGACCAGCTCCAACAGTTTCATCAGCCGAAGATCCAAAATACTTGTAATTGACATCATTTCACCAAACCAAAGGAAAACAAATACAATGAATTTATACAAACCAAACCTACACAGAAGAACATTGCCAAGAACCGGACAAATTAGAACAGAAGATTTTGACCCACAACAAACAAAATGTCTCCCAACACTGCTGGTCCCCGTGGGAGATCTAGACCAAAGCCCTCCAACAAAATCACGCGCAACAATCAACATCGCAACACTAAATACAAGAACACTAAGAACACAGAAAAGTCTGCTGGAACTAGAAAAGTCACTAGAGGAAATAAACTACAATATCTTAGGAATAAGTGAGATGAGAAGACTGGAAGAGAAAATAGAAGAGTATAAAAACTATATCCTAGACCACAAAGGAGAAACAGCAGAACACAGAGGTGTAGGATTTCTCATTAAACAATACCTAAAACAAAACATACTGGAGCTAATAGGAATTTCAGACAGAATAGCAATACTAAACATGAAACTACCGGGCTACAAGAAAGTATGGACAATCATTCAGGTATACGCGCCTACCGAACAAGCCGCCAAGGAGAACACTGAAGACTTCTATAACAACCTATCTGACATTACAAAGAAATATTACAACAACAACCTTGTAATCATGGGGGATTTCAACCACCAAGTTGGCTACAGGTTTGGAAGTACTGCTGTGGCAAGAGAAGTACCAACGGACACAGACTAATAGAATTCCTCCTGGAAAATAATTTGACACTACTCAATTCAGTCTATAAGACAAAATATAAAAATAAATGGACCTGGATGTCTCCCGATGGGAAATACAAAAACGAAATTGATTTTATTTTAACAAACAGAGTAAGGTATTTTAATGATGCACAAGTTATACAGAATATGAATTTCAACACTAACCACCGATTAGTGCGCGGACGCCTAAAGATGTATCCAACAAAAAAGTCGAGGAAAGCTATAACAAACACTCCGATATTGCTACCAGAACAGTACTCGAAAAATATCGAACCAGCTCACATCATGCCACTGCATGAAATTGCTAACTCTGATTTGAGTGTTCGAGTTAAATATGATTACCTGGACAAGAAACTATCAGAAATATAGAAAATAATTACGAAAAAGGACAGGAACAAATTCAGTGACAATACAATAGAGCTGTTAGAAGAAAGAAAATAACTAATTCTAAATAAAAATAAAAGTAAAGAAAACCTTAACAGAAAATCATACCTTAGCAAACAGATACGGGAAAGTATGAGAAAAGACAGGAAGATAAAAATAATTAAAAAACTAGAAGACACAATTAAAAGAACAGGCGGAACGAAAAAAGCTTTTAAGGAGTTAATAGGATTAGAGTTAAAAGCAACAAATCCATTCATGTAACAAAACGTAAAGAAATTCAGAAATCAGCTACGGAATATTATAAAGCTCTCTACTCGAATATAGATGAAGACCATGAATTAGAAACCAATAAGTCGCCAACAAATAGATATGATGACGTACCGCCCATACTTATAACAGAGGTAAAGAGAGCCATACACTCTCAAAAATTAGAGAGAGCTCCAGGGCCGGACAACATACCAAACAAGCTCATGAGGGGCACGGCAGAGGAACTGGCTCCAATTCTCACCAGGGTATTTAACGACATACTCAAGTCAGGCTTCATTCCAAATCAGTGGGGAGAGTCCCACATAATTCTCCTGCATAAAAAAGGGCCTAGGGAAGTCATTGACAATTATAGACCAATTAGTTTGATCTCAAACGTCTATAAAGTGTTCGCACAAACACAAATATATACATAATATTCAACAAATATTGGAAAAAGTAATGAATACCAAAAACCCGTTTTCATAGCTTTTATAGACTACTCAAAAGCATTTGACAGTTTGAAACATAAATACATTTGGTCAGCTTTGAGATGGCAAGGAGTAGATAATACCTATATTGAGATACTCAGAAACATTTATAGCATGAGCAAAAGCCGCATCAAACTGGAATCGAAAGGAGACCTATTTCCCATTACAAGAAGACCCACTGTCCCCCAAACTGTTTACGGCTGTGCTAGAGGATATCTTCAGAAGACTAGACTGGGATGAATATGGCCTCAATATCAATGGCAGTCTTTTAAATCATTTGAGGTTTGCTGACGATATTATCTTGCTGGAAGAAGACCCAAGTAAACTACAAGCAATGGTACAAACTCTAGCCAATAGAAGCAAAGAAGCAGGTCTCAAAATAAACACAATCAAAACAAAACTGATGACCAACTCTACAAAAGTCAACATAGAATTAGATGGAAAAAGACTTGAATATGTGCAAGAGTTTGTACTTGGGTCAATTAATTGCCCCTAGTGACCAAACATCTAAGGAAATTAACAAAAGGATTGCTAGTGGTTGGAAAAAATACTGGTCTCTGAGAGAAATAATGAAAAGTAAAGAGCTAAGCATCTCTATCAAGAAGAAAACATTTAACACCTGTATTCTCCCCTGCATCACATATGGTTGTGAGACGTGGTCCCTCAAACAAAACCACCGGGACAAACTTGCGAAATGTCAACGAGCAATGGAGAGGAGTATGTTGGAAATAAAACTCAAGGATAGAATTAACAACAAGGAAATAAAAAATAATACCAAGGTTGCTGACATTCTGACCCGAATCGACCATCTGAAATGGGGCTGGACAGGTCACATGATTCATTGCAAGACCAATAAATGGAGCAAGCAGGTAACCCTATGGTACCCAAGAGATGGCGTCAGAAAACAGGGCCGCCCAATCAGAAGATGGGAAGACGATATCCACCGCAGCAGACAGAACCCAATGGAAGCAGCTGGAGGAGGCCTATGGCAAAAGGCACACCGAACTGAGGGACTTACTTTAACTAGTATTACAATAGGAACTTAAACACAAATATTATGTAACCCCAAAGTTCGGAAATAAATGGCGGCTCTAATAATAATAATAAGAATTCAGTTATATGTTTGGATCACTTTGAGAAAAATACTTATATTATAAAGATAATAAAGGTAAATATAGCATAAAGATGTGGAATTTAGTGATATTTTTATGTGTGACACCCAGATATAGAGCACATTTGAAACACAAAAAGCATACTTGCAGTTTATGACTTTTTGTGTACAAAATATAAAAACACTGATAAATTAAATAATCAATATTATACACAAAAACATAAAATAATAAGTATTTTATTTATTTTTTATTTATTATTCTTTATTGCACATATAACAAAGAAATATGAAAAGAGCGGTCTTATTGCTGACAGCAATTTCTTCCAGCCAACCAATGAATGGACAGGATTACACAAAGATGACAAGGGTAGGACAAATTGGTTTGATAAAAAGAATACATATATTTACGAATACAATATACATACACTTAAATAATATATATAGAATATATAGAATTAGTTAATAAAATGCAATCAATCATCAATATACTACAATCAATATACAGCATACTATATTATATTTAATGGCTAGTGTGAAAAGTATGTATACTAACAAACATAATAATAATTTTAAGTAAGCTTACGATCATATTAAAAATTATTTTAGTGATCAATGTGACTCCATACCTCCTAGAGCAAAATTTGAAGAAGAAAACAGAAATGAAACAAAACAAAGTAGCGCACAAGGCAAAAACGGGAAATGGTACTTTATTTGTTATAACTTAATTTCACACTAAATTTTTTTGAACCTATGTCTTTTCATTTCCAAGTGACAGGAGTAATGTATTGCTTTGTACCTTTTTGTGACTAATGATCGTAAGATTTGTGACTTTATTACTAGATGCCATGGCTGTAATTAAGTTGAACTTAAAACTGTTTTAATTTCTTGTCTCAGTTCTTTAGTAAACAAATGTAGCTATTTAAGTATATATTCACGCGGACAGCATTTAGCTATGATTTTGTATGTGACCTAGTTGGTATCGCTGATCGAAGTTTTCAAGTAATTTTTTATCTGTAATGGATAAATTTGATATTTATACAATAAAATAAAGAATATGGTATGGAATACAACATACCAACAACCTTTTTAAGTTCTAATCACCAACTAGCATACTTTCTTGTAAGTTTTACCCATATATGCATCATAGAAATGGCAAGGCAGGTAGATTAGTGAGCACAAAATCTGTGAAGTTATAGTATAAGAGTTGGCATTGGTAAAGATACTTCAGAAATTAGGGTATCATATTTCTAGATGTCAAGATGTACTGACCACATCTTGAAATACATACACCAAGACAAAAATACAGACCAGCATCATGTGCAAGAGGTGTGGTACTGCTACAGAAAGGTATAGTTTGGTGACTGCATTTTGTGAGTACCCTAGCAATAAAATGTTAAGAGGCTGGTGACACTAATAATAGTAAATTGATCACAAAGATATTAATAAAACTTACTTGATGATATCCTCAGAATCTTGATTTTTTAAATCAACCTCATCTATTAACATTTCTGGTAACTTACAGAATATTTTTAACTCTTCATTACCCCTCTGAACAATTGGAAGTGTGCTAGAAAGGAAAGCAAGAACAAATGGCTTTATATTATTCTTTAATCTTCCAGCTATAATCTGTAAATGTTTACAGAGATTATTCATAATATTTCCCGACATATCATTCAGTATTTCCTCAGATATTTTTGTAAGATGCTTCTGAAAACCATAAGTCATTATAATAAGAAGAACTGATTCATAGTTCAGCTCAAAATCTGTAGTTAACAGACAGCCTATTATCTCATCAAGAGTGCTTTGTTTTAATGAGGCATGCATGCAAATAAACCCATACACAGTATATGCAGAAGCACGAAAATTTTGTATGGTTGACTCAAAACCCTTTAATATTGTTGGTAAAAGTGCATTAATCACTGCTTCATTGACAGTTTTTATTGTTTCAATAACACCAAGCCCTGTCATAGCAAATAATGCAAAAACTGTATTCAACTGCATTGCTCTCTCCCCATATACTTTCACATACTTTAATACCATTTTAGCAATGAATTGAAGTGTCGCTGTATTTGATACACATTGATTGTGCAAGACCTGCTTTGTTAATGTTATCCCCTGTTTCTGAATAGGTCTCAGCCAATTCCATCTATTTGATTTTCCTTTTATGGTAAGTAATTGGAGGAATCTTGTGAAAATTTTTGTTTCATGATATGGTAGAATAAGCATCATGATAGCATCTTGGTTATATTCATGAATATGATATCGGTTTACTAGCCACTCAAGAGCCTTGTGGGAAGGCTGGAGCAGAAAATATGGTGACAATTGCAAAAGAAACTTTTCTATAGTCTGATCCAAATTTTGATTAACTTCTTTTGTTTGTACAGCTCTTTCAAAATCTTTTGAGCCAATACTAAACAATGTATCTTCATACACGTGAAAGCCTTCATATAAAGCTATTAATTCTCTGAGGCCACTGACGCCTATTTCATAAAAAGTTTCGCGGTCTTTAAGAGCTGCCTCTTTCGGATCAAATAGTAAAGATGCTCTCTTTTTCTCATCCTTGTAAATAGAAGATTGAGGTGCTGAAAGTTTTTGTAGCTGCTCCGCCAATGAAGTGGACGGCATTTCTAATTATATTTATGTACTTGTATTTGTCTGTAAACATAAAATATTGGTTGCAGATATGCAAAATGCGTTATCGATAATTTCACACACCTGCATTTAATGAAAATTCATTTAAGTATTTTCAAACTTTAGTTCAATAACAGTTATGGCATAAAAAATACAGAGATAAACACTTAGCAAGAATAATAAACTTACATTTAACTGCTTATTTCTCAAATATATATCTAATAATAAATAATAAATGTGCTTTGTGTATACAAAACCACGCTCCTTACATATTTACTATACTCTTTGACCACATAGTAGGCATGTCGATCTAAAATCGATTAATCGAAAAATCGATTCTTTGGAGCAAAATAATCGATTTTTTAGATCGATTCGGAGCACCGCATCGATTCACTGAATCGATCCAAAAACCTCTCGAATCGGACCGATTCATCTGATTCTAGAACCAGCGATAAAATTCCCAAACTGGCTTTGGTAAGATTCCGCAGTTTTTTAATTTTTTGCTGTTGGGGAACGCAAAAACAACCGATCTTAATTGGTTGATAATTTGAACGGAATATACAACACGTAACATAATTAACGCACTTTGAGAAAGTATTTTGTTCAGAATTGTTTACTGAATCGATTCCTATCATTTTTAATATAGGTAGTTTTTTTATCCCAAAAATAATTAAAACTACGTAAATTACAGTCACACTAAATCTGTACAGTCAAAACAAACTGAAATGGACCGTAATTTAAGGCAATAAGACTTATAAGAGTGTAGTTTTATTTGTATTATTACTAATTCTGTCATTCAATAAAAATAAAGAAAAATGAACTTTATTTCAAGCACGTTAAATTCTTTGCGTTCGTGGATTTGTATTCTGACCACAACATTCTTCCGGAATTAGTTTAACTAATTTGAAAATAATCAGTGCATAAAAATGTTTAACTAAAAATTCAGTGTATGTATTATGTTTATAACATAATATCCTAATTCGGGTGTCTGAGGGTGTGCGTTAATTACGATACATATTGTATATTTGAATAAAATAAATATTTATGAACGCATCCAACAAAATCGAAAAGTTGTCATTTCATTTTCATTTCTAAATTTCTAATTCTATTCTTACCTGTGGAATGTTAGTCTAACTTAATCTGTGCTTTGAACAAAACTACATATACATACTACAATTTAATATTATAGCTGTGAACCTGTTTGAACTGTGAACTTGCGAATTTACTTTATTATCAAAAACATACATACTGTGAGCTGTAAGTACAGACGGAGTACTTTCTATATATCTAGACGCTCTAAATAAATATTATATGTTGAAGTTTATAGAAATTTATAGTAAGGAAATAACCATTATTGTATTCGTGTAGCATTCATTTCAATTTGATAAATAGTGAGTTAATAGATTGAAACAGATTAATCGAGAAATGTACGTTGCAATTTGCCCTTTTCTTAAAGTATTATTGTTGTTTTTAGCCTGAAATGTCAAATAAAAGTGATACATGGAATCACTTTGTAAAAAAAAGGGATCGAGTGGCGAACAACCCCTGAAACAAGCGTTTCAAGCTTACTAGGAGAGGTTAAAAGGAATATTAGTAATTTTAATTAATAAGATTACTAATATTTTAATTTCAAAAAATATTGAAGTTCAATTAAAGAAAACATCGCAAATTCTTAAAATTTCATGTTTGAAAGTGTCGCGATTAATCGAAAATCGATCTTTTAATCCTCGATTTAATCGATAATCGATTCTAGTATCTTCGATTCGAATCGATTCAGAGATCGATTTTTTTAAGAGTGAATCGACATGCCTACCACATAGTTTGACCACGTGCGAAATTTTACTTTACACATTGACGTTTGATTTTTTTATTAAAACTGGCTTTACTGCTCTGGGTTCCAGCCTTTCTGAGCCTATCATTTCTTTTGGAATTGCATTTTTATATTCTTTTTCTTCACAAAATGCCGATGCATCACATTCCGAAGCTCTTGGGAGATTTTGACGACAGCTCAACCCAGTGGGCAGTTAATGATGGCAGTCATTCAAGTTCATGAGGCGCCCAAGCGATCAAAATAACTTGAGGTTTATATCGATATCAAAGCACTTGTTTCGTCGTTTTCTCTAATAGTTCACACGCGCGGACACTTAATTCACAAAATCGCATCACTTTTACTATGTAAGGAGTGTAGAGCACATAGTACCATTGTATAAACTGAAAGTGTAGAGTATGTAGTGTAAAAGTAAGGAGTACAGACTGTGTATTAAAAAGTTTCCATAAAAAACAGTTAAATAAGGGTGGCGCCACTATAGCTACGGGATAAATTTTAAAGAATGTGCCGAAAAATATTAGTAGGATAGACGACTTTTTCGAGGTTATATTTACTAAATAAAATTATTTCAGATTTTAGAGCTATTGAGCAGTTTAGCAGCACACTTCAAACCGTCGAACACTGCTTCATTTCATCCCAATAGGTACTCCAGCGCTGTTGTGGAGAGTTTTTGAACTGTTATTTACTGATTACAGATGGCCACTTTTTCAACTATACTCTACGATAGGAGTTGGTACTCCTTACTTCCACACTCCATAGTGTAGAGGTAAGAAGTACAGACTCTATATAAAAAGTGTCCGTAGAAAAGCGATAAATGAGAGTGGCGCCACTGTAGCTACAGTCTAAATTTTAACCGTTAAAAGTCCGGCGTCTCCATATGGAGACGTCAATGTCTCCTTGTTAGACCGCGCCAAAGAGTATACTAATACTTAGAGGGACGCCTTAGAACCAAAGAGTATATGATCACTAAGTTTACTTGAAAACATAGATAAGATTATAAATAACATTTAAAAATAATTATATTATTATATAGTTCACATATAAAAAACATGGTAATATTAAGTTGCTAATAGACACGCTCTACTTAAAAAATGATATGCGTGTTATGATATTCAGTGGAATCTCTATAACTCGAACCTCGTTAAGTTGAAATCCTCAGTAAGTCGAAAAAAATTGCCATTCCCTTCCGCTGAACCCCTAAATACGCGGTATCTCGAATTATTAGACTTTGTAACTGGAAGAAAATGTTATTTCCCTACGAAATATTGATAATAGATATTTATACTCTATAACTCGAATTTCAAAAATGAGACTCCATAAGTCGTAGTTAGTAAACAATAATGACGTCTTACTTGGAATTCCCCCGAAATAATAGCAATAAAATCCGGGTTCTTAATCTTGTTCTTCTTCTTTTAAATTATGGCTGGATTCTTAATCATAAAGTATGCGTGTGTCTAAAGTTGAATGTTAGAAAAAAGTTTCAAACAAATTTTGGAAATACGTTTTATGATTTTATTGGGGTAATTTTGGAAACAGATGCGAAATTTTATTTTCTACAATAATGGTTTATATAACTTTGACTTAAAGTACATAGTTTCCGAGATATCGGCTGAAAACGTTTTTTCAAGATGGCGCTTGAAGCACCACCTGTTCATTAAATGGACCATAAATCGTAAGCGGTAAGTTTTACAAAAAAGTTTGCTGGAAACAAAAGATGCGAAATTTTATTTTCTACAATAATTGTTTTGTATAACTTTTGCCTTAAAGTGCATTGTTTCCGAGATATCGGCTGAAAACGTTTTTTCAAGATGGCGCTTGAAACGCCACCTGTGCATTAAATGGACTATAAATCGTAAACGGTAAGTTTTACAAAAAAGTTTGCTGGAAACAAAAGATGCGAAATTTTATTTTCTACAATAATTTTTTGTATAACTTTTGCCTTAAAGTGCATTGTTTCCGAGACATCGGCTGAAAACATTTTTTCAAGATTGCGCTTGAAGCACCACCTCGATCTGTCGGCATTTTGTGATTTTATGCTTAATAAGTGATCCTAAACCTCATAAAAAAAATAAAATTTAATCGGAAATTTCGTGTAAAATTAAATTCTATTTTTACTGTACTATTTCATTAAACATTTTATTTGTCAACAACGTCTTACAATCATTTCTCTAGCGCTCAATGTGACCTTTACACAAATAATTCGATATTTTAATTGTTGATAATATTAAATTTAATTTTGGATAAGAACATGGTAATGACTCTAAGTTATATTTACCTTCATTTAAAAAAATTGTCTTTGGCCAAACCTACTATACTCTTTGGGTTGACCATAGGTCAGACTAATAGGTCCATAGACTGACGGATGTCACGAGTGGTTAAGGAACTTTTAATAATTTTTTTATTGCACAGACTTTCACCATAATTCTTTTTACAATTATTATTTTATTGCTTTTAATAATTTCTTTTAAAAATCACTCTCAACGTATTTTACGCCGATTTAACATACCCCGTAGCTACTCGAGCGCTGTAGTGAAGAGTTTTTGAACTGTTATTTACTGCTTACAGATGTACACTTTTTCAACTATTCTCCTGTGGGAGTTTGGTACTCCTTACTTCTACACTACATAGATTGTAGTCCTCGTTAATAGGGGACATGGAGGTTTGAGAAGAGATCGCTACGTACTAAAGCATAGCCTGCCTGTCCTTGAAAATTTGTAGAATTTATAGTAGCGCTGCCGTCGAGTAGTGACTGTGAAGTTAGCTGTTTATGAGTACAAGTAGATGAAGTTAGATGAATAATATACAAATTTTCTTCGCGGTATTGATGAGAAAATTTTGATGTCCCGTAATTTTTTAATTTTTTACAAAAAGAAACATTAAAAAATGGAGAAATATTTTATTGTGCGTGGATGTGCAAGTGGTTTAGCATCTGATCGGAAAAATAGACTGAAAATGACTTTTATTGACCGAACTTAGCGATCGCAGCGTCTCACTTATGGTGTCCATATTTCTGGGACACTAATTTCTGCGGCGATCGTTCTCCTGTTATCTAACCTCTATAGCTATGTTCTAAAGCATAGCCCGCCTATCTCTGAACTGCCATCGATAAGTAGTATCTGCGAAGTTAGCTGTTTATGAGTACAAGTAGAGGAAGTTAATTGAATAA